TGGTGGTAGACGAGTAGAGCCGTAGAGGTAGATTGGTGGGCGGTGGCAATTTAGAGAAAAATCTGGGACTCTGTTTTCGAGTTGCTACCTGCTAAGTATATGGTATGGAGAAGCTCATTTGGGCTTCTTTAATTGGGCCTAATTTTAAAAATAAAAATAAAAATTAGAGGCCCAACAGCCAACACCCAAGCCAACAGGACTGAACAAGACTGAAGTCACTGAACGACAGACTAATCTAGAAAAAAAAAGACTCCTGGCAGCCGACGGTGGCGGTGCCAATAGCTACATCTGCCACTGATGTCGTTCCACTTTTATGTGTTTAATTCTAACATTATGTTAGGCTAATCTCTCTCATGTATTGAATGAAGATGAAACATTTTGTTTATTTTTAATTCAAGACAAGTAGTTTAGTTGGATTTTTGCAATTCTTGATTAATCTAGCATGCTTAATTTTATTATTTGATTGATTGATCACCAATTAACTATATAGTTGCTTGTTGTAGTGTTGGGAGGCTCACAATAGGTCTAAAACACGGCATGATTAACATGCGTGCAATAATCTTTAGGAATAATATTTATCACGTTTACAATCTTTGAGATAATTGTTAAATTAAATGCGTTTTATTCATTTGAATTCGGACTAGGAGTAGATTCGGGTCGTGATTATGATAGATTTAATTTGTTTTGGAAAAAAATTAATTACAATAAAATTATCAATCGTCAAGAATGTATGAACGAAAACTAGCTACATAGTCAAGAATTAGAATAGATAATAATAGATGAATTTGTAATCTAATACACTCTTCCCATATACGTATTAAATTTACATTTTACACGCTTTCGTAGATTAAGTAGAATTATTAGAAATCACAAACACTTTTATTTTGTTTACTTGGAATCTAATTACGGACTAGTACATTCAATTAAATTTTATTTCTCGTGGGATGATACTCTTAACTCACTAAATCTATTACTTGTCAACGATCTCGTACGCTTGCGAATTTCGCACGAACAGTAGTCTCCAGTAGCTCGATCTCGTATACGCTCTACACAAATGTGCAATTCTCTAGACGAGGAAAAATAATTTTTTTGGCTAAATAAGGTAAATTGACATTTTGATTCAAAGAATTATGATTAAAACAAGATTACCTAGCTTCATTGACCTTCAACAAACATGCAAGAAGAATAAGGTTTGTCTCCATAACTTCACTTTCTTCCTGATACAATGCTATGGTAGATTGTCAACACAATAATGTTTAAACCATCTAAATTATACTGATCATCCTAAAATCTAGGTGTTCTATCACTACAAAGATCGTCGGACATTTGCATCAGAAGATGTTATTTGAAATTATCTCTTGCCCATGATAAAGGAAAATGACAGTCTTGTAAATTACAAGTTGAATCCATTTTTTCAGAAAAACATAAATAAAAACAAAAAGGCATATATATAGCTTGGAATACCAAAAAAAAGTAAATAAATTAATTTCCACAGTAACTCTCCACCACAAATGATCAACATCCAAAACCTTGAAACAGAGAAATAGGTGTCAATAAGTGGATAAGACAATAAAAAAAGATGGGATTCAATGACGAAACAGTTACCCTCGCAAGATCTGTTTTATATGTTCCAGTCTTCATTCTAAACCAAGTATCCCTTGACACATCAATTGCTTTTCTAGCCATTAAAAGAACATCTATCATCTCTTCGATTGGATTACTCTCCTAGGATGTAAATTCCTTACACCTTTGACAGCCTGTAGTATAATGAAAGGAAAAAAATTCATTAAATTCTGTCAAACACTTAATAACCTAGATCGTGTATAAATCACATTAGAATTCTAACAATATAGGCATGCATTTGTGACTACATACCTCCCTCACACGGACCTCTTTGTCTGCTTCATTGTATGCATAGTTCTTGAGATGATAAAGTGATATAGCAGATCTAATCTGTAATTCATGTCCCTTTTCGATGCACTTCTGCATTAGGTGAACCATTGCCTCCCTTTCACGGCCACTCTACAAACCACGAAGGGGAAGCTAAAAACTGTATAATGCAATCGAATCATCAAAGTATGATTATGACTTATGAGAAGGTAAATAAATCTAAAGTCATTTTTGTTGAGAATTTACTTATCATGCACAGCGAAAGTAAAACAGATTTCAATTCCTACCAAAGATTTCATTTGTGTTTAAATAGAAATTGTGATAAAAAATTATACCTTTTTGCGAAATCTGCAAATTCCTTTGCTTTTCCGTTTGTTCCAACAATCTTGATCTGCCACCTACAGCTGTCCAATTGTCTAACCTCCAATGAAATTCCACACAGAGAATAAGAGTGTAGGCAGCCTGAGTTTTCTTCTCTAGTGCTAGCAAGAAAAATAAAGTTCTCTACAAATTTCAAACCCTAGCTATTTATTTATATAAGCCCAAACGGGCTTGGTCTAATCTAGTCTAATATTTTATTAACACAATTAATTAAGTCTGGTCCATAAATTAATTAATCCAATTAGTTAATTCGGGTCTATAAATAAGCAACACAATTAATTAATTTATTCAACACTTGTTAAATTAATTAATTGACAAATCACAATCCTTTAGTTCTCTTTCTGTATGCGACCCATCAGGTTCCCAATCACGATATCCAACGACATGAATCATTATTTTGATCTAATCAAAATTGATAAATTAAAACATCCTTTTAATTTATCACCAATTCACGTTCACCGTCCCAGATTGATATCTAGCAATGTGTCAAAGCAATACATGTTACGAAAAATGTCACTTGATATGGCAAAACCAAACTCATTCGTTTACCGTGAAACTACAATCCCTTCGTCAATATGATCCAATCAATTACAAGATATGAAAGTGTGACCAACCCGATTATCAATCATATCATTCATTTTACTATTAAGTCAATATAATTTGAAAACTCATTTTCGATTTCTAAATATACCTTAGCCAATGATTTCGTTATCGACTTAATTGAATGAAATGTAGATCATAACCTCTTACTATTTAAGAGTAACGAATCTTATATCAGTCATTTACAACTTTCATATGATTATTGACAAACCCAAATGATGTAGTATAAGTGGTCCTTGGCAGAGCAACATCCAACACCACCAAAGTATGACTTTCCTCGTATAAGGTACCATGATGACCTCAAGTCAAAGGACCAATTCCACTACCGAACGTTAGAGATTAACGACCGATACTCAGATAACCATCCATGTGGAATCTCTCAACGGGTCTTCAATATTTTGTTCTATAACAAAATATCCACGTGTTCATTTAAGTATTACCACATTTTAGCTTGTGAGATCAGCTGCTTAATTTACAAGTAAAAAATGTCACACGTGG